GAGAGAAATCTTTGAAGATCCTGTCATTGCCTTAATGATCACAGAAGAAGCACGAACAGCAGTGGTTAAATTGCCCAGAAAGCTATCGCAATTGTAACCAAGCCAGACTGGTTACAAAAATGTTTCCAAGTAATTTCTGGCATTTCTGACATATTTGGAGATATTCCAGTAACTTGTGATGAGACTACTGATGTGATAGGTGAACCTTCAACGGTGAGCCTGGGAGATTTTCAAATTTAATCCTATTATGTAATCAGGTTCCAACTGATTCAATTCTCATAACAAATCAGAATGATCACACACAAAGATCTTAACAATTCAAGATGAGAATTACATTCAAAAAAAAAAAAAAAAGAAACAATTCAAGATGAGAGTGGATGTGAGAAGATTATTTTCTACTTATATATATGAAGATTCAGAAAGAAAGTTAAGTAGGAATCAATTGAGAATTAAACGCAAAAGAGTCACTCAAAAAATAATAAAAGGTAAATAAAAAGGGGAAAAAAAATTAGAAAGAACATTAAAGTAATTAATATTTCCACCATCCATCTTCATTATTGCTAATCACTCGTGATGGGTGAACAAGTCCACTCATCTTGGGCAGGATGGGTAGGATGGTAAACAACTCAGGTCAGTTTATGTACCGAAAATTAGTTGAGTAATTAAGACTTTCTTATTCTACATTTAGAAGAATATGACCATAAAGCACCAGAAGAATTTAGTGAAAAAGCTTAAAATATTTTTGGAGCTTAAAGCTAAATGAACATAAAGCAACAGAAAAAATATGATTGATCTAAAACTAATTAGTAAAACTAACAAAGGCAACAAGCTTAAAAACTTATTGGAGTTTGAACTATGCTTGGAATACATCTAGAAATATTGTGGATTCATTTATAAATTCTATGAGGAAAAGGGCCTCTATGCCCCATCAACAAGTAATTGATGGTGCAAGGAAACCTCTGAAAGTCTATCAGAGGAGATATCATTTAAATGGTAAACAATTAGCTGGTGTCTGGGTTAGAAGTATCTAAATGCTGACAATTTTAATTTTCCAATAAGACCTAGGTTAGTTGTAGCAGGAGTTATTTCAATTCCAGACTGTCCCTTAGTTTGTTGAGCGCAATTCTCGGAGAACAGATAGAAAAACTTGTGCTAATTCTCGAAGAATGGATAGAAAAACTTGTGCTCCGAGAATGTTTGTATGCACAAAACTACTATCTGAATTGAATTACAATCAACACTTAATCCAAATTTCTTTCTCATTTTCTTCTCTCATGCTACTTCTCTGCTCCCTTCTTTTCTTAATCCCTGATAAACCCTATTTCCACTGGAGTCTAAGCCTAAGGCTCCTGACAAACTCACACCTAATTCAACTAGAAAATGGTAAGAATCTACCATAAAATAGTAAAAGTTAATCTCCTATGGAATTCCATATAAAATTAAAATAACAAATCTAAAAAATTCCATCAAATTTCATAAATTTAGAAAAATGGTTCCAATTTTAAAAAAAATTCTATGAGGTCAATTTTTTTGTCATCCTAATACAGTTCACATCATTTTCTAATTGAATAGATGTAAATTTACAAATGAATTCTATATAATTGTTGGATTTGTTCCAAATTTAGCCTAATGCTCAAGGAACAGAAAGCACTAGAGAGTTAAGCCAAGTAGTCAATTTGGACACTTAATTGTTTAAATCCATGCAATTAAGCGCCATGTTTCCGACAAAATTAGATAGAAAATACATAATAAGGAGAATCATCTTCTCAACTCGATTGCTATTCACGTCACTCAGTATAGGACGGTGACAGGAAGGAAAATTTATATTTACGGGGGAGAGGGAGAAACCAACTATTGTTCTAGCAAAATCACAAAAACAAAAAGCAAAAAGAAAAAGGCCATACCATGGAGAGATAATATTGATATCATAAGTTGTTATCAGCGGGGGTAGGTTGGCAGTTTCTCACCCAATCAGATAAAGTTGCAACATTTCTAGAGATATCCTCAATGGTGTCACTCTTCAAAGCTAGAACTATATCCTCTTGATAACTTTCCTTTGCTTCCTCCAGCAGAACTTGAAATATTTCACATTCGATATTGTTTGAGAGTTTGGCACCTGTGTAACCTCTGCAGTACCGAAAACTTTGATGAGACATCAAAACCAACTAGAGAACATAACAGAAAGAAGAAACAGCACCTTTTACTCAAACGATCATACAACACAGAGTTTTCAGTTTGAAGCACGATCACACGATCAAACCACCGTTCAGGAAAGAAATCACAGCCATGATAATCCACAATGTTTCCCCCTTCTTCCATTACATCCTCGAGCTCATCACACACCTGCAAAACCAAACATTTATAACCAAATACATTATTGCTATTTATAAATCATTAAGAATGAAATTTAGAAATAAATGCTATTACTAGAAGTATTGACTGGCTTGTAAATTTTGGAAATTCCATAACAAAACGATTTTAAATAATTTCATAGAACAATTAAACAACACAATTTCTCATGACGAATAAAAAAGATAAGAACCTATTTCCTACTTCAAACCCAAGTAAGGTGTTTATATGCAACTTCTATGAGGTAAGTTTTATGTACTTTTCAAGGAGATCATTGTTAGGGATTTTCACATTAGAAACCAGGTTAAGAGCCTCCACCTATGGATCACATAGAGCTTATTTCACATTTAGGAAGACAACAAAGATGCCAAATAGATTTAGCGTAACTAAAGTGGCTTAAAAGCAAGCTAATTAAACAATTTTAACCCCCAAACAACAGTGAAAGTTAATTGCAGTTTTGGAGAATAGCTTTGCATGTCAAAGCCCAAAAGCTTACATTTTAGAGCTGCTATCAACTAAAAATATCGATGCAGATATTCCAATATGGTTTTAAGGAGTGAGGATATCAGAATATTTACCAGGTCTTCATTGATAACATGGCACTGGAGCTCATCATCCCATCCATCATGCAAGCCCTTCTCTTTGACCAAGTCTCCAATATTTATGTGGTGGAACTGTGTGGCTTCTGCTAACGCAGATGACATCGTTGTTTTGCCAGTTCCGGGTGTGCCCGTTATCAGTATGTTTGGCTTCCTTCTCTGTTTGTTGCTTTCTTGTGTCATGATCCTGGTACCAGCGGCTGTATAACCTGTGAGAAGAGGCTGCCCTTCAGACAGATTTTCATATTTTAAATTTTTTTTGGAGAAATCAAACAAGGCCAGAGAGCCAGTTGCAAACCCAGCTAGGCAAAGAAAAAAAATTAAAAGGGCAGATCAACCAGACCTTGCCCCAAAACAAAAATAACATACTAATGAAATTTGCCTACAAGCAACTGAAAAAGAACAATTGAGATTTTGATAAGGCTCCCAAGTCACAGGGCAGAAAGTTCTGCGACTGAGTTCCTTTCTGTCATAAGTAATGCAGAATGGATTATATTGTATTGCTGAAATATGCTAAAGATTCTACTTATTTTAAATATAGAACCACTGTATAATTTAAGGGTTTACTATTATAGTTTTCAAGATTTTTCTTAACTTTTCTAGGATGATGCAATGGCACCTTGGACCTAAGGATTGAAATGCCTAGATTGGGCAATGTTAGATTATCAATGGAGCATAAGAAAAACGTTAATATGGAAGGGTATAGGGAGGACCGAATCAACTTCTATATCCCACTCAACGTATGTAATACCTAAATTTAGTCACCAAAAAAATTCTTTCCTCTAATTGAATCTACAATTCCTAAAAAGAATGCAAAAACAAAAACTAAATAATTAAAACAAGGAAAGAAAAAAGTCAAGAACTTACTGATAAATTGATCCCCGCTCCTTAACTCAACAAAACTTATGAAGATCCATGCTTCTTCAAAAACTGGAAGAAACTAAAAAAACTAGCAAAATGCTAATTCTAGAAGAAAAACCAAAGCTTTCAATATTATTTCACTAAAATGAATTGTGTTTATAACCTACGGGCAAAGGCCTATTTATGACCCATTCCCAGGAATTATCCCATTTAGGAAAGCGTTCAGAGATGAAATTACTTTCCTGTTATAGACGTTTCTCATTGATGCAAGATTGCATCTTTAGAACTAATTCTGGGTTGTCTAGGATCACATCACACGTTAATACCAAAGGAAAAACAAGAAAGAGGGATCCAGGAAAGAGGAACCGATGGTGTAGGCGCAGTGCAGTGAAGCAGGCATAGGCTAAAAAGCAGGCAGCTGGTTCAGAAAATAGATTTAGTGTTTTATTTTTGGCTTTGTCTGTGTATATATATTAACTGAGACCGAACTGGAACAAATTGGTTTATTCAATCCCTGTTCTCCTTTATAGAGAACTGATAACTGCACACCCTTAATAATCATCATTCTGGCAATAAAACCTCTTATTGAACCTGATCTCTAACTCTCATTTTCTAACGAGTCACCATGCAATTAGTCAAGTAAATCAACAAGCTTATGAAGAGGAAACATATAGTGATTCAATTGATAGTGCTACTATCAACACACATATGACAAGACCCATTCTTATTTGGCACTAGCAAAGCTGGAACAACACAAGGACTCACGCTCTCTTTTACTAAGTCTTTGGATAAGGGCTCATCAACTTGCCTTTATAATCTTTCATACTCTTAATCATGTGATATGCTGCCTTATTGGGAAGTATTAAGTTAGGAACTATGGTTGTCTCTTGTAGGAAGAAGACCTGAAGAAATTTCATTAGGAATGGCTCCAACAAACTCCTTTAAAATTGGTTAAACTAGAGAACTTATCACACTGCACTTGATTCTTCCTCAAGTAAAAGAGCATAAATCTCTTCAGTTGCTTAATCTGTAAAGCATCTAAACAAAAACATATTCTCTCCTTTTTTAAGGATTTTGGAATGAATTATGGATTCATTAGTCTGGAGACAATGCTTACTCCATCGTTCACAAAGGTACAAGTGTTCTAAAATCCATCACGTATTGCTCTCCTATTCGATTGTAGTGATCTTCCTAATAATAAATGGGATACATCAATAGGAGCCACATTAAACCAGATTTCATAATTATAATTCTTCCCACTAGAATTTAAGTAAACATCTCCTATCCACCTCTACATCTCCTCCCTTGTGAAACCATTTTATGTTGTACAGCTTTGGCTTTACTTCCATCTTTTAATTTGAATTTGTCCACCACTATAGTCGCAAAAGCGTTAGCATAGTTTAACCATTAATGACTTGATTGCAAACTGCCATAGGAAGTGCGTATAGCATAAAAAAGACACTCTCTGCTAATCAACATCTTGTGCTTGATTATTGTTACATATATTGTCGAAGAACTAACAATTCACCATCATTTGCATACACAGGCTCTTATCATATTCATCATAAATAGACTCTTCATTATCTTCATATTATGCAGTCTCTTCCTCAATCAAAGGGAAATTTTTTATTGAGACATTCATAAGCTGTATGTCCATAACCTTAGCACTCAAAACACTTCTGAGAGGGCACAGTTAAAGGTCCAACTTGCTTTTCACTCTTTGAAGAACTTTTTCACTCGTTATTTCTTTAGAGAAAAATGACTTGGATGAAAAAACATTTCCCTGATAATGATGGAATGATAAAAAAACTGGCTTGGAAAGTCTTTTCTTCACTTCTTTTATTGTTTTCCCACTATCATTGAGAGCTTGCCTATATAACTAAATGACAAATACAGTTGTGTAACAACCAAGGTGAGATGAGATGCAAAAGATCCTGCAAACATATAATCAATAAACTCAAAGGGAGTTGCCACTAACTAATCCATTTAATGTATTAGACACCAAACCACACACCGATCAACTTTAAAGAAATTTGGTTCAAGAAATAGTCCCAAGTGAGAAAGTATTAGGCACTCACTTGGTGGCATAGGCTCATCAACTTTGCCAAAAACATTTTCTATTTTAGTTTTAAATGAAATATATAAAAACCTAATTAAACATAAACAAAGAAAAAGGAAACAAGTTAGGCACCCAAAGTAAGTAGTTTTCTAAACCAAAAACCTACCGATTTTAATGGATAAATGAAACATGCACAGCAACTAAAAGACTTGTTTGACTCATTTTGGACCTCCAAATAACATCATATATGGTACAAAGCCATGGAAGTGCAATGAAGCATAAATGAGACTAAGCCTATACACAAACATCTAAATTAATTGTAAATGCTTAAAACTGATGCTGCAATGAGTTAGGCAATAACAAGCAGTCCTAAAATGCAAGCAAAAGGAAGGAAACATTAAGGAATCAAGAGCTATTGAATTGGTCATTGATCCTCCTATTCAACTAGAATATGTGCAGGCACATTAATTGGGATATATCGAATCAAATTGGCCTGAGCACTAGTTTGCAAGAAAGGAAAATAAAACAAATAATAAAATGAAACCCTCAAAATAGTCTATGTAACCATTATTTTATGGTAGACAACAACTAGAGAAATAACAAGTTTCGGATTCATGCAAATTGAAATTCAAAATCAAAGAGGTACTCAAACTATCATTGTATTATTATGACATCGACAGGAAAGATGATGACCAAATAACATAAAGCACTAAAACTAAAAATGATCAGAATTAATAGAACAACATATTTTAGCTTGGAATATTTATACATAGACAAATATCTTCAATCCTTAGAATCAAATCATTCTCTTTACTAAATCAACTCTAAGATATTTCCAAATCTCTATCTCTAAGGATTTACTTTAGAAAAGAAAAAAAAAAAAAAGGATTATACCCCTTTTTGTGATTCAGAAGAAAGTCGAGTATCCTTCTCCTCTCGGAAATCCGCTCCAATCTCTTCTCTGTTTGCTCCGATATTCTCAATCTCACACCAAAGTTCTCTGATTTTTCTTCAACTCAAAACACCCAAACCGGACTCCCTCGGTTTTCTCTAACCCGAAGCCCTAGCCATCAACATACACCAATTTCTCGCCCAGAATGGTCTCTCAAATCAGCTCCTTTCTCAAAATTTCTCACGGTTCCCAAATATTTTCTAGAGCCCCGAAGACCTCCCCTGTTTCCCCTCTTAAACTCGTGTCCCTCTCTCCCTCTCTCTCCTCAATCACTTTTTTTTTCTCTCTCCCCCTTCTTCCAATTCCTCCGC